TGTTTTGTGTACAAGATAGATCAGTGGCTACACATCACACTTATGCCGATAATCACAGCACATATCCTGCTGGGCACAACAGTCATGCCAGATCAATAGAGTGCATATAATGCAATTGGCCCCATCAAACGGTCATTCATTCTGTTAAGTTTTTGGATCCAAACTCAGGTGCCAATAGCCATACCCAAAGCATCGAACGTTTGTGGAAATCTGCAAAAGAGAGAAACAAGCGCCACAACGGCACACACAGACATATGCTCGACTTGTCAATGTTTGAGTTCATGTGGCGTCGACGTGTTAAAGTAAATGGTTTTTATGTCTTCAACGCCATTCTAGACGATATTGTTCAATTTTGGCCACTACAGTAGCGGAGGACCTTTAAAGAAGTATGTATGTTTTTATTTTAAATAACATTTGTTTTAGTTTTATTGAAAGTGTGAAGTGTTTTAATTTTCGAAGTGTCTAAACGTCCGGTGCGCAAATGTCCGGCGCGCGGGCGCACCCCGGACTAATAGTGTGGGAGATTGACATGCTCGCCGGACGACTAGTAGGCGTTATTATTCCGAAGGAGGTATCTATTTAGAAGATCTTGTGTGATAGTGTGGTAGTGTGGCCGCTTGACGATATTATATTTGTGGATCAATTCCCCGCATGGGCACCCTTTTTTCCCCCCATTTTAATTAAAAATATTTTATATTATATTTATATTATCATGTTCATCAGCAACAGTAGTTTTATGAGAAGTTTTAAAATATTTTTAGCAATTTAAACAATTTAAAATGTTTACTATACAATTTAAAATCTTTTACTTTTATTGGTTGCCTACTCCATACTGAATACTGGCCCCTAATTATATTATGGGTTGCTGGTACACAAACTCAAATAAACTAAACAAAAATGTTTACAAGCCACTTTCACTTCAGTTTTTTTCTATCATTTGCATGCAAGATGTACATTACTTCATCTTTCTATCTTTTATAGAAGTGGAGTTATGATTTTTTTGTGATTTTTTAAAACCCCCTTCTTTATCTTTGTATTTACGAAGTGTCTACACGTCCGGCGCGCCGGACAAATAGTGCACAAGATATACGTCCGGCGGCATGTCACGTGACCGCCGGACGGCTAGTAGTTTTTATTATTCTGAACGTAATGCAGTTTGGTAGATCTTGTGTGGTCTAGTGGTAGAGTGGTCGTTATTATTATTATGATTTATGGATCAATTCCGGGGAAAGGATCGTTTTTTTTTTCTTCCCGTTTTAATTTAAAATATTTTATACTATATTTTTATTATCATGTTCATCAGCAACAGTAGTTTCATGACAAGTTTTTAAATATTTTGTAACAATTTAAAATGAAATCTTTTACTTTTATTGGTAGCCTACTCCATACTGGCCCCTGCCCTAATTGATTTTATGGATTACTGGTACACAAACTCAAATAACAAACAAAACAAAAATGTTTACGAGCCACTTTCACTTAATTTTTTTTTCTATTACTTGCATTCAAGATACTCAGTACATTACTTGGTAGAGAAATAGATTTTAAAATTAACAATAGTTTTGAATCATTCGCAGTCACGTGACAAGGCTGACCGACAAGATATCTCTCGCCACTTTCTTACGGCGGTCATGTGACTTGGTCGCCGGACAAATAGTGCGGGAGATACACGTCCGGCGCACTGCCTTGTATTTAACTGAAAAAACGTGTGACCCACTTTCCAAATTTCTGCCTTATTTTGCCCAAAACTTTTGGATTTTAAAAGATAATGCCACCAAATTGACAGGAGACATCCTCAATGCAATATACATCAAAATAAACAACAAAACTTTTATATAACATCAAGATTTTCATTTTTTGATATATTATATATTTGTGGGTATGTTCAGAAAAAAGTGAACAGAAAAATTGGGAAAATCATTATTTATATAAATATAAATATAGGAAAAAACGAAAAAATAACACGATTATTGAATTTTAACTAAATTTATGCTTGTGTTAAATTTTAAATCAATTATTATATTTATAAAAAGGTAAGTAATCTTTTTTTATATATAAAATTGAACGCATGTAATTATAAATAAAAATTACTCAAATAAAATCATCCATGATGATCAGACTAATTCATTAAAAAATGTTATTTGATATATTAAATAATTGTCTAAATGTACTGCTTTTCTATGTCCTAAAAATATATTAAAATTTAATTACTACGATGATGTTGTTTGAGTCTTTTTTATTAATTTGATGTATTGTAATTGTAATAAAACTGTTATATATAGGCATAGGCTTAACTAAAAATATATTATCTAGACTAGACTGTTCAATAAACTTACAATTATCTGATTCTAATAATATATTATAGCCTTTAAAGACACACAGCAAGAAGGCTAAGTATTAGATACGCACCTGAACTGCACTTTTACCCATTTTAGGGTTCATGTTAGGTTTAGGGATACATTTAGGGTTCAGGTTAGGTTTAGGGATACATTTACGACATAAGTTCGTGGGTCACGATAACCAAGATGGCGGCCGCAGCTGAATTGTTTTCTATTCAAAAGAACATTTGTTTTATTGGAAGTGTGAATAATAATAATTTTTGCGGTGAATTAAAATTGAAGTATCCACTTCTGATACCGGGTCCGAATAGCCGCAGCCAAACTTTTCATTACATTTACCGATAAGAAAATTAGACAGTAGCCGATTCGCCACCAAAAAAAAAAGCAACTTTAACTTTGATCTTGTCTTGAATCTTGATGATGTCATTGTCATGTTAATGATTATAGAACTATATTTAAAATAGAATTCATAAATACAATAAAATTATAAATATAAACGTATTCTTACTTGCTTTTTCTTCGTGTTTCTTCAACGGTACATGAAACTCTTCAAAATATTGAACATTTCTCGATTGATAATAATGGCTCAAAGATGGCAAACCAACAGGAAGTATCCGTCATAACCATCACGTGACCAACCGAATAATGTTAAAGACCTCACGTGACCAGCTGGGTCCGAATAGCCATTTGCTGCTATAAATACCCGGTTTCCTATAGCCACTCCGTAGAAAGTGTCAAGGGGGGGGGGGGCATCCATAAATGACGTCACGCAAATTTTGCCGATTTTTTACCCCCCTCCCCCATAGNTCCCAAAACCGCACAAAAAAGTACACCCCCCCCCCCCCCCTCAAATATAGCGTCACAAATCTCTGCACCTCCCCTCCCCTTTTTTTTAAAAAAAGTCCCTGTGTCCACTAGTGTCCTTTACAAACCCTAAAGAAATTCACCTCCCATGGATATCAAATTACTCCACCCGTGTCAGAAACATTTCACTAGATCAGTGGTTCTTTAACAAGGGTACAAGTACCTCCCCAGCCTTAAAGTGTGGGAAACCAAAGAATTGTATTCAGTGGCGTAGCTAGGGGGGTGCGGACCGCACCGGCCGACACCATTTCAGACACACTCAGGGGGTGACACCAAATCACCAAATTGAAAGATAGCGTTATTACAGAGCACACACTGATCGGTCTAACCGAAATTCGTAAAAGGATAAAAGATGACTCGTACATTTTCCACCCATGTAACCAATCAAAATGCGTGTTTATTTCGTTAATATTAAAATTTCAAGGTTGATGCGTCAGCAAATAGGTTACCCTATTATTAGGTCAGAAACACACCACTTGACCATGTTTCATAGCCGAATGAAGTGTTCGGTAATTTTTGTAAGCGGCAGGAAGCTATTTTTTATCTAAATTCTGAGAAATAAAACTATCCTTTGATAACAGTGGGCGATTCTAAGAACGTTGCAGTTCTTAAATACATTTACCCCCTGAAATTCCAATTAATTTTTTGTTGTTCTTGTATTTCTTATACTTTGGACTAAGTTTAACAAGAAGAAATAGATCGTTTAAAAAAGGGGGGAGGGGGGCTGACACCACGAGCTTACCGGACCGGATGGTACCAACCCTAGCTACGCCACTGATTCTATTTGCTGCAATTGCTAGTTGTTGCTGCTTTAAAAAAAAAAAGAAAAAAACAACAAATTAACGGATTTTGATTAGCAGCAGTCAATGGTAAATTTCATTGACGCATTGTTAGTTTTGGTAATTTTGTCCCCTGTTTATAAAAAGTTAATTAAAGAAATAAAACTACGATAACTAAATTATTTAATTATTTTAAATTTGGGGGGGGGGGGTTTTTAAAAGGGGGTGGGCCCTCAAACCCTCAAAAAAAAAAAAAAAAAAAGGATTAAGAATCCCTGCTCTTGAGCTTTTACTAAGATACCCCCCCCCCCCACCCCCATCACCCCGCAGTCAACATTTTTTCCCGCTTCATCCCACTTCTCCTGTCCAGATTTAGCCATAACTACATTCCGCTTCTCCTATTGCTGGGCGTCCTATAACTTGATCTCAGGCCATTCTTCGGACCTCGCACTGATTCTCTCAGTGATAGTAGTTTTAAAATTAAATATTTATATATATTTTTTTTTTGATATAAAAAAAAATGTCTGTCATTCAGTGTTATGAAGTGAAATTCTTTACTACAACATTATGCTTTTCATGTGACGTCACATGGCTTGAGGCTCCCCCCTCCCCCTCGTCACACATCGTCACAAAAATCTGACCCCTTCCCCCCTAGACGCGTGACGTCATTTATAGATCCCCCCCCCCACCACACTTTTTCTCCCTTTTTTATTTTCGTTTGATCTTGACAAGTAAATCCGCAATCTTTAAACTGCTGACTTTGAAAATCACTGCTAAAAACCAACTTCAGTGTTTTATAGGCATTTGAACAAGTTAAATTATAAAGCAAATATGAAAAGGTAATTATTTTTTTTGCTATGATCGATGAATAGAAATAAAGCATAAAATGTCTCATTTTTTAAGATTTAAAATCACTTTTTTTTTACTAGATTGACAGGTTTTAAAAGTTGAAGTACCCCTTAAGTCTATTCAGGGGAAAATACCACGTAAAAAGGTTGTTAACATCATTTCCAGAGTAGTTGAACATGGAAGAAGCCATTATTATCATTACACAACAACTTTTTTTGTTCAACCAACCACTTGGCAAGTAAGCTCGGAATTAGATAAACAATAACGCCATTAACATTTAACACATCTTTGAAAGCTCTCAAGCCTGAATGAAATCAACAAAAAGGTTGAATCCAATATTAGGAGACTGGATATGCGTATGTTTTTTTTATTTTTATTTTGTACCACCAGCTCAGCTAGCTTGTGTGTGTACTACTGAGTCTACTGTGTAATTTTGTTGTAACTTAATTTAGATCTGAAAATGATTGACTCAAACTCCAAATTAAATTAGTATTATTTATTCTTGACATTGTTACTGTACTGTAGTGTTATTTATTTAAATGTGATAGTTTTACTTTTAAAAACTTGTATTTTAAAGTAACTTTAGTATGGACTATACTATCAGCTATCTTAATTCAGGGCCATTTTTTCTCTCCAGATTTTAATTTTATTGATGGTTTTACTCTTTAACTTTAATTAAATTTAAAAAAAAAAGTTACAATTACAATTATGTCAGTAAGTCAGTTTTTATGAAATTTTAAATAAGCAATAGTACAAGTCGGTATATTATATAGTATATGCATGATAACTAATGATTGATGACATTGATAATGATCTTTATGACCATATACTGTGTCATAATGTATATGAGTCATTCATTAATAATGTGTAGTCATTGATTGGACTCAGTCAGTACTATGCTGTAATATTAATAGTATAGCCTGTAAAAATGTATAGTGCTAGCATATAGGCCTATTACTATTATATATGATTATTGTGTAGACCAGGGGTGCCTGCATCCCTGGGAGTGGGGATGTGGTAGGCAGTCAAGGGATGCGAAAAAACTCATAGTTCAGTTGCATTTTTATTGACCTTTTTTTTTATCGTTGGAAGTATGTTGAAATATGTTTTGAAATTGAGATGGGGTTGCAGGAAATGTTTTGAAATCAAGAGGGGGTTTAGTCAGTGCAGCAGTATTGTTAGTTAATAACTGACCTCAACTGTTGACAAGTAGCCTGTGGGAAAACTGGCTGTTATTAAAGTGTTAACTTAATGTTAATGTTTATTGGGTGTTTTTTTTATTGGGGGGGGAGGGGGGGGAATTATTTTTTTGGAAAATTTATATAGATCATTTCATTTTCCTAAAAAAGCACCAATATATCTGAAGAGGTCCCCAGGTAAAGCTTCTACTGTCTTGCCCCACTTCACAAATACTGGTTATGTAGTTGGTACAAGTATTTCTAATTTGAAAACTTCCTAGTTCCAATTATGGGTGTGAATAAACTCTTAGTCATGTCCTTTTATTTTGACATTTCTCTCTCTCAGTCCATTTAAAAGTAAATGTTTATTTTTAAAATAGTAAATGACACATTTTTATGTGATATCTAATTAAGTTATAAAGCTGGATTTACTTCTATGTGTATATGGCATTAAAATCTTTTTGAAGGTGAAATATTGAAGCATTTTAATTATATATACTATTTAAAGTACTTAAGAGTAAGTTTCTCAAAAAAAGTTTCCAGATTAAGCTTCTAAAAAATCTAAAATGAATTTCACAGATGTCAGGGACTAGATAACCAACCATTTAATGCATGTTGCACTGTGTTAAGAAGGGTGTAAATAGGTCAAATAACGTGCTTAAGGGAGAGTCAAGGAGACTAATTTAAGATAAAAACAACTGCTAAAATCAATATTTCATTAGGAGGAAGCTATTGCTGGAGTCTCTCCCATAATAGTCTTGTACTGAATTTATGCTGTGACCTATGAACTTTATCCTACATATGAGGCTATTTGGTAACAATGATTCAGCAGATCCTCAAGCCACACATCAGTAGGCATAGAGTTACATATACCAGTAGTTTTAGGCCTACATAGGAGGATATTGACTTCTGCTTATGTTTTGACAGAGAGCTGTTCAAATAATTATTTGTATTTATTTATTATTTGTATAAAGTTTTTTTTTAATCCAGATGACTTCACCTGTCCATTTATAATTGTTTTAAATCCCACCCCTCCCCTCTCTTTTTTTTTACCTTTGGCCTAGTTTAGTTACCTATACCATACTCAGTTGTTTTAACATTTTGTGTACAAAAAGCCATGAATATGGTTATACGTGCACTTGTATACTTCTTTAATTTTAAACACCAAATTGGCTAAAACATATGTATCCATACAACATTTTTAACCAATAGTACTTTTTTTTTCAATGTAGGTTTAAACATCTTGAAATACTGCACATTAAAAACCACATCAAAATATAAAACTATTCCTCAGTTGTAAATATCTCTATAAGTAACTCCTCTTTAAATAACAAAAACAAAAAAAATGTACTCTAATTTTTCTATGATACATTTGATGGTTAGCTACAGTTTTGATTAATGAAGAAAGTTTGGTTTTTGGCCCAAAGTTCATTTGAGATAAGTAGAAATTTTTCTTGGTTGAACTATCGCTCGATTAGTCTGCAAGTATTTTACCCCAGTGTGTGCATCAGTACTTTTCTCCTGAGGCCTGGTTTATAATTAAGCAAGACGGTCTGATTCACCTTTAAACATGATTCAACTCTATAATATCATCAACAGGTCTTTTTAGTTTTTAAAAATTGTATGTAATTGAAAACATAATTGAGATTACATTTCCTGTTCAAACGTGGATGTGTTGTGCTATGAACTCTGACTTTGTTTAAAATTTAATTGATGTCCTTGCTTTGTTTTTTATTTTCTGTGTGTAGATTGCTTGCCCTTGGAAAGTCACAGCAAATCTCAGAGATGATCGTCTCTCCACTAACTTATCTGCCCCTCTTGATGCGCTGCGGTGCATTCGGACTAGGAAGAAGTTGTTGCACTTAGTTGTTTGATTAAAACTGTGTCAGTAATCATTTCAGAACATTACCGTGTTAAATCTATCTGGGATTTGTGGTGTTGGACACTAAAGATTAGCCCCAAGTGTTGTGTTTGTTCTATCCAGACTTCATCTTCAGCATGCTGAGGGACAAACAAAAAATAATCGGTGAAGCTGAAGTGGATTATTTATTAATCTTTTAAATAATACTGAACTATTATAAAATAATAAAGAGTCAACATCGATAAGACTTGCAGAGTTAAGCTGTTGGCCAGAGCTGCCCCTATGAATTATTTGGTGTTTAAGGAACTCTACATAGGTGAAACTGTGACGCTGTCCAGTGGTTGTCAAATTCACTTTAGTGCTGACTTACTTGATCCAATGACCAGTTCAGCTGAAGCTGGTTCATTGCGTCGTTGATGGGACTTGGCAGGTCTAGGCTTTCGTCCAGAATGAGCGGCAGCGACCAGGAGCCTGAACCATCAGAAGCACACAGGATACTGAGTTCAGCGACTGAGGAACCAGACCTACCCTCCATCGTGGCGTATCTTATTCGAAGGTATTCCTGTGCTCCACAGCTGAATGTCTTCTATTGTTTGGTTGTTGTTGTTTTTTTACTGTGACTGCCAGCAACATTAGGCCACTGTGACTGAGCTGTAAGAAGTATTGTTTCAGGTGTGTGCCGGGGGATGGAGCCACACTTATGAAAGTTTCTGGACACGAAGCACGTGGTGGTCTTGTGGACACAGGAGTAACCATGAAAACTTGCCTGTGATGTGACTAGTCTCCTCTGCTCACGTGACAACCAATGGGGACTCACTGTTGCAAACCTTCCAGGTTGAGTCCCCATGTTAATTTAAGCGCTACCCAAACTCAGAACTTGTTTCTGTATTTGGAATGGCTGTTCATCTGTAGCAATATTTTAACATGCTCATACCTCTAAGACTCGCAACTCACTGGTTGTTCGAAGAAGGACTTTTTGGCGCTGCCGTTTTGGCGCAGGACATTTTGGCGCCATTTAAAAATAACTTTTTATTTAACTTAACGTTTATAAACTTTTACACAAAACTTGATCATTATCTATGGTCGTGTGTAAATGAGCCTTGCATTCGTTCTTCATCTCACATCGCCAGAACTTCTTGGAATGGTGTGCACTAAACTTATCGAACACATAACAGTATCCTTCGTGATTCAACTTTTCTTTACCACGCTTCGATGTAACATTTTCCATTTTACTGGTTTAACAGAATTATAATATATGATATATTTATGAAACTCTACTTAACTTATGATTTTAGTCTAGAACACTCTTGCACTTTTATAAATGTGAAGCGCACACACGATTAGGCAGGAACGGTAAATAATGGCTTAGGCGATCTGTGCGCCAAAATGACCTGCGCCAAAACGGCTCTGCGTCAAAATCGTCGCGCTAAAACGGCAGCGCCAAAACGTCACGTACCGCTGGTTGTTTAAACACTTGAGTTTACACCAATGGACTGGACAAATTATACTTGATGGAGTATTTCACATTATTTTCACTTATAAAACGAGCTAACGATGAGACATCCTCCATTAGGTAAGGGATTCTAGGCCATTTGTGCAAATTGCACTCAAGAAATTTAAGCATCCAGTGTGTAAATAATCCAAGACTAAATCATATTGTAACTAACTTAAGACTATGTCATGGAGCGCTGTGAGCGTGCTAAAATAGCATGGATAGAAGCGCTATAAAAGTGCTCAATCAATCAATCAAAGTCATATAGACTTAATAAGTTTGTTTTATTTATCCCCCACAGTAAAGAAGAAAAAAAAAGCGTGACATCTAATATTTTAAAAAAAAAAAAAAAAAAAAAATACTATTTTAAAAGAAATAATAATTTAATTATAATATTTAAAAAAAAACAAAAAAAAAAAATAAATTAAAATATAAAAAAAAAATTTTTATTTAAACCCCAAAAAAAAAAAAAAAAAAAAAGCGTGAAAACTAATAATTTAAAAAAAAAAAAAAAAGGAATGCTATTTTAAAAGAAATCATAATTTAATTCTAATGTTTAAAAAAAAACAAAAAAAAAACATAAATTCAAATATTAAACAAAAACACATGATTCTAATATTTAAAGAAGAAAAAAAAATATTGTCAACTGTAATGTGTTAGTTTGAATGAGAAAATATAAGATTAAAAAGTGTATTACAAAAAAAAAAATCATGTGCTGAATTCTAAAAATAGATTTATTTAAGAAAATTAAGTGGAGCTCTCTTTAGGCAGAGTGAGCTTGGTAACCTCTGACTCAGAGGTATTTCCAGTAATTACATTGCTGTATACATAACAACAGTGATGCTTAGTATGAATATATTTACATTTCACTGTTTTTGTAAGGTCAGTGCGTATGACTGCTGTTAATGTAAGTGTGACAGCTCAAACATGTACTGGAATGTCAGAAAGGGAAGTTGAAATGTGGTAATTAAAAAGATTTTAAATAGATAGTTGGTATAATTCACTGTATTTACTACATATATAAGTTTTAAGCCATGAAAATTATTACATACACATATATATATATCAAATGTATATCATTTATGTGTATGTATGTGTGTGTAATATTTGCGTGTATGTATGATGAGAAATGTAAGTTTTCACATATTTTATCCTTGTCTGTAGTGGCCAGATTCGGTTCATCAGCCAGGACACGGGCAACTCAGACAGTGACAGTTCATCAGAGAATGAATTTGTTGCCCCATGTTCAAAGCCACCCGCAGGTAAATCTATTTGATCTTATTTCATGTTAATCAAAATCGGTGAAGTGTCCAAACTCAGACTTAGATTTGGGTCCACTTAGTGCAGCTAATTGGGCAACAACTCACTTCAATTACTTCTTTTCTTCGGCTCAATTTTATGTGATCTTCCGGGATGATGATCCTTTTCTTTTTTTCCAGGTCTTTTCAAAATGTCTCCCTCTCAAGAATTCCTGGCTTTTCTTGATCCTCTTTCTCTTGTGTGGCATCGAGTATAAAGTAGTTGTAATTGCATGCGTCTTAAGCAGGCAGAAGATGTCCTTTCAGCGTGCCAAGCTTTGTACTCAACATCCACATTCCAGCTGACTTAACAGTATTTTCTTTGATAAGATCGTCCTAATGTGTGTGTGATCCATCGTTTGTGAGCACAAATGGCAGGTTTAGGTGTGCTGAACAAAATTAACGTAACCATTTTAAATACAACCAAAGCCTTACCAACGTTTTTTGTACTCATGGTCTCCCATATTGGAAACCTTTATACTCCTCCTCCCCTTGTACTTATTCCACTCACGTATGCAAATGATCAAGCAGGGTGTTGCAATATTCTTTCTAATGGAAATTACACTTGGCAGTGTTTCTCTCTTTGCTAATTTTATAGAGGCCACTTCTCCCCGCTCACGTGAACCACAACGGCTTCTGCCTCTCTTTGCTAAATTTATAGACACCACTTCTCCCAGCTCACGTGAACCACAACGGCTTCTGTCTCTCTTTGCTAATTTTATAGACACCACTTCTTCCCGCTCACGTGAACCACAACGGCTTCTGTCTCTCTTTGCTAATTTTAGAGACACCACTTCTTCCCGCTCACGTGAACCACAACAGCTTCTGATTAGAGCAGGTGGGTTGCTTGTTGTGTTAGCCCCCTTCCCCAAGACACTTCCATCAGTTCATATATTTTAATCCTATCTGCTCCAATCCTGGCCCTTTATTTTTTTTAGCTTTTAAAATTGGTTTCATCCAATGTTTTGTTCGTTTGATCACACACATTAATAATTCAAAGTGACCCTGGACACGCAGCTGTGCCATCCGCACCCAGGTCCCATTAGACAAATGCTATTCGGATGTCATTTGTGGTAGTTTATTTTAGTTAAACTGAAGAAGTAAGTTTAAAAACATATAGTCCATTCAATTATTTTTCATTTGATACCTCATTTTGTCTTATCAACCCAACAATAATACTTTAAATAGTTTTTTAATCCCAACCTCTCACTTGTGGTACCCGGATGAGAATAGTCGCAGCCTTAATAATTAAGTTGTCTCCGCCAGTTTTAATACTTTTGGTCCTATCTGCTCCAAGCCCACCTCCTTATTTGAAAAAAATATTAAAAAATTGATGACGTCTAACTCTTGCCTTTTTAACCAACCCAATTATGTGTCAGTCATCATAACGCAAGTAGCCCACCACCTGTTATAAAATTGTATTCTTCAAGATGGTATTCACATTATTAATTAAGTCATGCAAAGGAACTTACTCATTTCTTTTCATCTGATACAGTGAAATCTGTAAAGTATGTATATAATGCAGTTATTTGAAGGTTTGTTTTTGTTAACTCCTTGCAAAACTGACTTGCCTGGTAAAAAGATTTGAGTGCTTCAATATTTGAATCTTTAAATAAACAAAACACAACTATTTTACAATACCTGAGGGAAATTATCCATTTTTAAATTTTACAATGTTAAATGGATGACTTGAATTGTTTATGTTTTTATTTTCCCAGTTGATATCCAACCCAATGTTAAGGCTTTACAGGTAAATTTAGGAGTAGATTTTAGGCTTTAAATTTAGATTTTTTAAATATTTTGTTCCAGAAAAATGGACAGAATTTACTTAAAATATAATTGTCTGGGATGTTGGTTGAAAACTATTATCAATGAAATTTATTTTGGGGGGGGAAAATGATTGTCAGTGTTACTTTATTTTCAGGAAAGTGATATTTATGCTTCAATCATGCAGTCGTCTGGCAGACTGACGGACAAAACATGGACTTCACAATACCACTCCTTGACAATACCAAACTTTGTTGCACAGGTCAGAAAGTTTTCCAGCCCACCGTGTCCCGTTGTGAATTAAATACAAATTTAAACTAATTATTTCAGAAATTTAAACTAATTATTTCTTCTAAGATCAAAGTTTGTTATAGTACCAAAAAAAAAACAATGGTTTTTAATGGAAGGGTGTCAGGCATCTTGTCATCTGTGTGGCCTACAATTTTATTTTATTTTTCAGTACAAATATTTATTGGTAATGGATAATCAGATGTTTGAACTTAACTCTCAAAGTCTGACGTGCCAGTCTAACTGGCTTTCCGCCGATCATGTTTTAACACGAGCCAGTCTATGCGGCGTTTTAAAGTGACTTTTTAAAATTGGGATTTTATGTATATATTTGGGTGTTTTGTCCAAATCGATATTTCCACATCTTTTTCCGCTGTTAACATTTTTAAAAAACATGCAAGGAATTTGTTTTTTTATCTCAATTTTATTAAGTTAAGAAATATTGTCTGTGGTCACCCAGGGTCAAATTTTATCACACCAAAATTACTGTGTCAAAACGTGGATTAGACCTACGGACACTAAGAGTTAATATATATGTAGCCTGTGCCTTTGTATCTCTGCCTAATACCTCTGCCTTTATAATCTCTGCCTCTATATCCGTATCTCTGTATTTTCAGAGAGAATTGGGGTTGAAGAATCAACATCAGTTCACTCACGGGGATATGTGTGTCTTGAACTCGAGGTAAGGGACATAATTACCAATTGGCTCAAATGGGAATTAAGATTTACCTGACGTTGAGATAATGGATATCAATAAAGCTATGCATATTTAGCTGCTAGATGATATTTAATGGCTATATATATTTGATAGGAGAAATGAGTTGTTTTTCTCTTGAGCAAAGGCAATTTTAATAACTTCTACCTATATTATTAAGATAAGGTTAGGCTTGAGAAAAATACACAACTAGCTTAAACAAATATTGTTCGACTATTTAACTTCACATGGCTTGACCACAGTCCCTCGTATATTATTGTTTGTTCTTTGATCTATTACACTGGAAATAATTCTATGAAGTTTGACTTTTACTGTTTCCAATGGTAGGTTTCTTCCCAACAAGATGCGTAAGATCGCCTCCTACCATCATAAAAAAGCCTTCTGTGGGATTTACTCAGATGATGGCAATGTCTTCCTGTCAGCTTGTCAGGGTAAATGATTTCTTACGTGTCATGAATGTCTTACCAGAAATAAGGAACTGGTTGTTTTAGTTTGCTCATATGCCGTTAAATTTTATTTGATCATTCTACCTAATCTAAATTAATATTTGTTTCACTGGTGAGGGTGTGAAAATGTTGTCAACAAACATTTGTCGCACCTGTGACGGTGTGAAAATGTCAACTAATATTTTTGCATCTGTGACGGCATGACTGTTTTGTCTTTTAATATTTTTAGCATTGATGCCTGAGTGCAAATGTTGTCAAGTTGGTGGAGATAGTATACAACACTACACAATTCAATATATACCTACTCTTTGTCTACTCTAAACTACAGACCAAAACATCCGTGTGTACAACACGAGTAATGAAGAGTTTAAACTGATCAAGTCTATCAGAGCCAGGGATGTAGGTTGGAGTGTGCTGGACACAGCCTTCAGGTATTTATTGTACTCGTGATTCTGTCAGTATTTTTTTTTGGTTGAAAATCAAATGTAATGATTTTTAAGCCATCAGTTGCAATCGCCACTCAACAGTTCACATTAAAGCATTTCATCACATTTTTAACCCGAGCAACTGAATACTTTTCATACTAATGTAATTGGATTTTTGTAAATTTCTTTTTGATCAGCCCTGATGGTCGCTACGCAGCATATTCAAGTTGGTCAGATTGCAGTAAGTAGAAATATATAAGTTAGGGATTCTTTAATAAAAAACAAAAACAAATCGCTGTTAACCCACACCTGTCTAATGCACCTAAAGAGTAACCCCCCTTGTGATTACCAACACATTTAATAATGAAGCTCCTCAAGGATCCTAACCATCTAAACTGAAACACCTCGGCTGTCCGAGAGCGCTTGAAAAGTGTCATAGAAATTCAGAGATGGAACTATATTGATCAGGCTAACAGTAGGATCTATTTTAAACGATGCAGAAAGTGTTGTGTATGTTCCTATGGTTCAAGATGGCCCCGCATCGTTTTTACTATGGTTGTCACTTTTGCTGGTGACCGTGAACTGGTGAAAATGTACGTACTCTCAATATCAGATATGGTCAATGTTATGCTACATATGATCTTCTAGATATCCTAGTTTTGTTAAGCTCAATTCTCTGGTATACGACTCTAAATAAACAATAAATGAACAATCCATTTTTGAGCTTATTATTTCATTAATTTAAAATTAAATCATTTCTAATTAAAATTTGATTTCCAACTGACCCACACACAGACAAGAAGTTACAGCATTAATAGGTTAACCAGAAGTGGGTTGTTACATATTTTTGAAGTAGGTTGTTATGTATTTCTGAAGAGGGTTGTTATGTATTTCTGAAGTGGGTTGTTATGTATTTCTAATTAGGTTAAATGACCATGATGTGTCCGTCTGTAGGGTACATATGTTTAAAAAAAATTATTCTTCAGTTCATCTGTGCAGTATATACGGAGACCACGATGTGCACGAGGCGCTGCACTTTGACCCAGGGGACCACAGTTTCTGCATCTTCTCTCTTATGTTTTCCTCCGACAACAAGGAAATACTTGGGGGGTAAGACTCAAGGACCACCTTCAAACGCATTGAAATATTTACCTCCTTATTTGTGACAAGAAGTTCCATAGCTCATTAAATTAGGCTTAATAGCTGTTCAGAAGTCTTCAAAAGAAGGATTTATGTGACATTGAGTGCAAATGAAACAATGTATGATGACAAATCAAAAGAGTTTTCGTCAATGCAGCTTATAATTTTTATTTTTTTTTCATGGTGGACATGCTTAAAAGAAATGTGATGGAATATTCTCCTTCCCCATCTAAACTCAATCCATGCTGGGTCTATAGAGGCATCCTATATCTCTCAAGTAATACATAAACCATGGGGGAAGTATTTTTGTTTAAATAAAAATAACTGTTTTTGTCACCAGGGCAAATGATGGTCACCTGTACGTGTACGACTTGGAGTCCAACAAAAGAACATTAAAGGTATTACCTTCCAGGGCAGTGCCCCCCCCCCCAGTTTTCTTTGCTATGTACACTAATATAATTTTAAAGCTGCTATGATCAAGGCCTTGAGCATTGTTTATTAATTTATCAACCCCCTGACTGCCAAACGCGGCCTGTGCTAATTCAACCCTGTAATGGCGAATTCAGCCCATAATGATTCAACCCTGTGAAGAAAAATCTGGCCGGTGTTGATTCAGCCCTGTGACGGCCAAGTCTGGCCACGTAACACTGTTTACACGTTGCTATGTAGATATTGCAAATCTCGCCATTTAAATGAAAATCTCTTGAGAAACGTGATCGAAGGAGACTTCTTCCGTTTAAAAAAAAAAAATATATTTATTGATTGGTTGTGGAGTTCTTATTCTATGAAAAGCAGATTTTTTAGTTGTCGTTTGTTTTGATCATCAGTAAAGTACTTTATTGTAAATTGACTTCTAAGGATTTACACAAGAAAAGCATTAGAAAATAAGGATACGCAACATATGAATCGACCAATTATGAATGCCAAATAATTTTTGTTCATATTAATATACAGTTCAATTGATTTGTTTTAGTTTTTATTGTTTCTGAACCAATCTACAGTAAGGGTGGAGTTGGTAGCCTCTGGCTTGGGATTTTCAAATGATAAAATGACCTGAGCGCCCAGAGTGGAGTGGGTTAAAAATAATCAAAATTTCAGTCTGTCTTTAAATTGATTCTCATCAGATCAATTGATACTTGTTTCCCCCCCCCCCCCCGAAATCACTTTTGATTTTCAGCTGACTTTGAACACTGTAACCATAGTTGGGTTAAAAAAAATAAAAATTTCGGTTTTTTTTTAAATTGTTTTCCATCAAATCAATTGATATTTTTTTCCCCCCCCCCCCCGAAATCACTTTTGATTTTCAGCTGACTTTGAACACTGTAACCATAGTAACTTGTGCTCTTTGCCAGCATCTTTTGTATTGTAGCCTACATATTAACATATGAACTGTCCCCAGATTGACGCCCACGATGATGATGTAAACACTGTACGATTTGCCGATAACAGCTCTCAGATTTTATACAGTGGAGGAGATGATGGCCTATGCAAGGTAAGTGAGTCTGTATTGATCAGGGGTCAGTTAGGCTGTATTGATCTGGGGTCAATTAGGCTGTATTGATCTAGGGTCAATTAGGTTGTATCGATCAGGGGTCAGTTAGGCTGTATTGATCAGGGGTCAGTTCGGGTGTATCGATCAGGGGTCAGTTCGGTTGTATCGATCAGGGGTCAGTTCGGTTGTATCGATCAGGAGTCAGTTAGGTGGTATTGATCAGGGGCAGTTAGATGTTCTGTACAAGGAGTTAAAGTTAATGTTTCAAGAGAATCCTTACACATAATTTGAGTTTCTTACCAAAACAAATGTTCTTTAAGAATTTTTGATGGCTTGTGACTTAACTAACTGTAGGACAGTGAGAATATGACTTTTTAATTGGATTTTAAAAAATTGAGTAGTGCGCACAGGAAATTAACTTTGGTTACATTAATTCAGGTGTGGGACAGAAGGACATTAAGAGAGGAACGACCTGTTCCTGTGGGCATCCTTGCTGGCCATTGTGATGGCATCACGTATATAGATTCAAAGGTAAGAAGTCTTCACCTTGCACTTAGAAATTTGATCAGTGTAGAGGCTGGAGACATCAAATGTTTAGTTCAAATATAAACTGCTGACATAACTGGCCATATTTGGAGTTTGTCAGGAACTAATGTGGTCAGCCAGCTGTTTTATGTATGTTACAAATGAAGTTTATTTCAACCATTCAGTTGTATATTTAGGAGAATGGCTCAAGGTAAAATATATGTATTAAATTGAACTTCTCTATTGCTCTTAAACTGAAAGAATGCTTTGATCTCCCATGAGAATATCTCATGGCTGGTTATTAAAATATACATTACATTGTACTTGATTTTCAACATTCCATCAGGGGGACGCCAGGTTCTTTGTGTCCAACTCTAAAGACCAGACAATGAAGCTCTGGGATGTTCGATGCTTCTCCGACCAAGCTGGGATTGAGGTACGTGTGATGAGGTGCCTAAACTCGCTTCAGCGGTGAAAAGCTTTGTTCCCTGTGTTGTCAGATAAATTTGGGGTGAAATCATAAGCATTTCTATGACAAACACAAATAACAGTAATAACACCATGCAAAAGTGCCCTGTTGATATCATGTCATTTCTCATTCACCTTATTATAATCAAACTAAACAACCCCTGCCCAGTATCCCACTTCTGCATCAGCTCAGTAAAGATTCACAGCCTTCAAATATGATCCTACTCTGCAGCTTGGTTTATAAACTGGTCTTGGGTAAAATCAAAACGAGACTGGTTTAATAAATACAATTATGTTTACATGTGTGGGTAGAGAAATATATGCAGACATTAAACTAATTTGCCATCAGTCCATTGATGGATCATGACACATGTACAAGAATGACACGCTCAAGTCACCACATCATCTTTTATTTGCCAGGAGACGAAGAAAGTGGTTTCCTCACAGCGCTGGGACTACCGTTGGCAGCAAGTTCCCAGGAGAAGTGAGTCTAGTTCTCTTTTTTTTTTTTCTGGAAAAAATAAAATGTGGACCATTTGCTCCTGAAATATCACTAGAGCATTTTAGTGATGAAGGGTCTGAAGTTTATTTGGAAAACTAACAAATATATATCTCTATATTCCTAATGCCAACTAAAATTTTGTTCAGTTTATTTCACTTCATTGAAATCTAGATTAAATTAATTCTTGAAAAGATCAATTTAAGAAAACAAGATTAGATTCTATAATTTAAAAAAAAAGAAAGAAAATGTTTTATGTTTTTTGTATTTCTTAATTTTAAAATGACCTGAAATATTTCTTAATAAAAAAAAAAAATAATAGAAATCCAATTTTTGTAACAACTGAATAATTTTATTTCACAGTGTCAAAGAAACGTGACTTGAAAGGTGACTCATCGGTCATGACCTACAGAGGTCACTGTGTCCTCCATACATTGATCAGGTGTAAGTTCTCACCAGAGGCCAACACGGGTCAGAGGTTCATCTACACAGGTTGTGCCACGGGCAGTGTCGTCAGTGAGTGAAGGGATTTATTCTTCTGACCTACATCTTAATCCTTTGTGCTTGTATTTTTAAAAATTTTGTTAGAAAATGTCAAAATTTTGTTAACAAATTTTAAAAAATCAAAATCTTGAAACAGAAACTAATTGTAAATTTAGATTTGGGGTTATCAAAATTTACTTTGAATACCAGAAATTAAAAGCTACAAAGGGGGGGGGATAAAAATCCATTTGTTGTTAATCTTTTCTTTTAAATTAACATCACCTTCAATCAGGGAATAAAACATTTATGTCGGATATTTTTATGCAAATATTCAAATATGTTTTTTTCATGTATTAATATCAAGATTTTTTTTAACGGGCTATAATTGTGATTTACCCCTTATGTGTTATTAATCGTCGTTTGTTGGCAACTAGCAACTGCACTTTCTCCGATTGACACGGTTTAATGCATTTCTTGATGCAGTATTAATGTGCCATTTTTAAATTCTAATTATTGTCAAACCCAACACTTTCAGTCTATGACGTCCTGACCGGTAGAGTGATCCGTAAGCTGGAGGGCCACTCCTCGTGCGTACGTGACGTGTCGTGGCACCCGTACAACAACACAATCATCAGCACCTCTGTAAGTCTTGACATCAAAGGCCTTTCAATAATGAGTTATCCGTGAAATCGTTTGTGTGACGTCATCATTGGCAGTCATCAGTTGGGGGCATCCACCCTTCCGCTTTTTGCATTACACTTTAAAGTTGTAAACGTAGAGGTACAATAGTATGATTGGATTCATGTTAACTGCATTCTTAACTCCTTCAAGATATGAACGGCAAGGGCTAAAATTTAATGCCCGTTTCTACCTACCATGTTTCACCCAAGCCGCCGGGTCAAACTCAGTTGTTGGAGGCATTTTTGTCTTCTCAGCCCCCACATTAATTGTTTTATTCACAATGAAATTGATGTCTTAACTAAGTTTATTTTGTGGTTCATACAAATGATATTTTGTTTTGTTTTACCACCTTATTTTTGGGACATTCAAGTTAACTTATGACTTTGACCCAAGTTGATCTTGATTAAAATCATTATAAAACTGTTTAAAGATCTTCCATGATTGTAAATATACATTTGGTATGCTTTCTTTAAAAGGATTCTTTTTTTAGAGTCCATCTTAATTTATGACAAAAGACTTATCCCTTGACCTTTCTGTGAGTGTAATGAACAGTTCTGAAATTTATTTTAGCGTTTCTGTTTTAAAACTTGTGTCACTCTGTGAAGGGCTAAACAATGCTATGATCCATATAATTAAATAACAAATATCATTTTTAACTTTTTAAAAGAAATTTGCAGACATAGTTAAAACTTTGGTAACTTTGTTGTTGTAAATTTTAATGATTACAACTCTGTATTTGTCCAGTGGGATGGCACACTGGGTATGTGGTATTACCATGACTACAACGCACACAGCTCTGAACCCGATGAGGTGGAGGTAAGTCTTGTTTATCTTTTCATTCGGGGGGGGGGGGGGAGATCCGAATAAGTACCATGGGATCCAGGGCTTGTAACTTAAACTTTTTTTAAAAAGTAGATGCAAAAGGAATAAGAGAAAGTGGAGCTCTGAATAGTATTACTATTTCACAGTGGCATGTTGATGTGAAGGTTTTTATAGCAATGTAAAAACACAACAAAAAAAAAATAATTCTTTAAATTATTTTAAAGAAAAAGGTTTTTTAATAATGTAAACAGGGTTGTGAGACTGATATAGTAAGACATCATTGTTTTTTGTTGTTGTTTTTTTTTCAATATATAGTGTTAGATAGGATAGGCTAGGATAGTATAGGTAAAATGGGTGGGCTTTAATGTAATGAAAAACTTTCCATATCATAATCACAACTAATTATATCTTTGTGGATTTTCCCCATGATCTATTTCAACTGTGCTATTGATAATTATTATTTCTTGGAAAAACAAACTTTAATCTGCCTTCATGTACTTCTTTCTATCATTTTATACTGGAGCAGTCCAAAAGTGAGAATCTTGATTTCCAGGTTTTCTTTACAAGCAATCTTTAAATATAACCCCCTTAAAAAAAATAAAAAAACAGTTTTCACTGGGTTTTCTGAAATTAAAAAAAAAAAAAAAAATTTTTTTATCAATGAGTTTATGATTCTTTAAGCATTGCATTTCTCATGTTTGGGATATTCCCTGATAGATTTTTCTCTTTGGGCTGACAGATCGCCTTAAAACTAATACTAACTTATGTTGTGGTCTACAGCTGCCTAGTTCTATCGACAGTCCACGATTTGCTGCTAAGCGACCCAGAATGAAAAAGACCAAAGAAACTCCTCTGCTTAGCCTCTATGATTAACAACAGATCTGGGGGGAGCCTCTGAGGTTCAAGTAAACAGGTCATAGAGTTCATCCTCCAGAAATATAGAACTCATCTCAGAAGGATCATTGACGTCGGCTGATAAATGGTGGAAATCAATGTTCTAATCAAATAGGGAAAAGAGAGAGAGATTTTTAAAAAATAACCCTGTTAATCTTTCAAATGCTTCAAGTGACTACTTTGCTGTTTTTCTTTTCAGCCAGATTGAAAAAATTTTTTTTTTATTTTATTGGGAATCTTTTTGGGAGCGAACCAGTTAATCTGTGAGCAGGAGCTTTTAATGTACTTTATAATAAAAATAAATTCAACTTAGAAGATTCCCCAACCAATTCAAATATGTAAATTCTAGGTTGGCTAGATTTATAATAATGTAAACAAAATAGTAAATGCAAAAAAAAGAAAAAGCTTTTTTAAACTGGAATTTTATTTATTTTCAGCTACTTTATTTATTTATCTAATTATGAAATAAATAATATTAGTAAAAGTAGATGTGTAGAAATTGTTCAAGTTACCTGTAGAATTATGATAGCAAAAAGTGCCTGAAAATAAAATTTATGAGAATGTAGTCCCCATAAATTTGTTTTTCCCTGATAATGTGCCAGGCATCATTGTTATTATGGGGGCAAATAACTTGCTGAGAATATATTCCCCTTAACTCTGTATTCCCTGATCATTTTCAAGGAATCCTTGTTAATATGGGAAAAGGTCTTGCTCACATGATACGTTACTTTTAATGTACCAAAGTGGTTACTTGGGTTACCGGAAATTAGATCGAAAGAAATTTCGTCGACGGTAAATTGATCGACGGTAATTTGATCGAACGGAAATATGATCGAAACTTTTTTTCAGTTCACACGTTAAAATTTTCGCCAAATTTCTTTTTGAACGCACTATATTATATAGTAAACCAAAATAATGCGTTCAAGAAGGAATTTGAAACAAAATTTTAACGTAAAAACTGAATAAAAGATTCGACCAAATTTCCGTTCGATCAAATTACCGTCGATCAATTTACCGTTTACGAAATCTCTTTCGATCAAATTTCCGGATACGGGTTACTTGTACTCACGGTGTAAGTTTTGTACATATTTGTACATATTATACCTTTTTTATAAACTTTCCGTTATCAGATTTGGGGATCAATCTTCCCCATTATGATGTAGCTCAGAGAATTTGTAATGGGTGTTGGGAACTTCAACATTATATTTTTTATTAACCAACCCAGTGATTCTCAACCTGTAAAACCTGCTGGGGGTTACCTTGGAGAATGTTTTTTGGTACCTAAATGGCATAATGGGAATCCTTGAAAAACAGGGAAGATTGAGATGTGAATTGATGAGAACCACTTGTAGAATCTAAAGAAAGTTGCAGTTTACTTATACATTCAAAAAGAAAATGTTAAACAGAATGGGTGTAGGAATCACTTTGCAATGTTGGGTCAGTTTACGTTTGTTTTTTTATTAAATGAATGCTTTGAGAGTTCTAGACCAATTGTGAACTACTGGACAGGGGGCAAGTCTTTGGAGCAGGCAGCAGTGGCAGACAGCAGGAATTTCCTGGTGTGTGAGGATGTACGAAGTATATAAATATACACATTAAATTAATATGTGAATCAAGGAGTGCTTTTACTTTGTAGAATTTCAAGAACCACTTTTGCCTTGATCTTGTTGAAAAAAAAAATCTTTGAATTATCGAGTGTCTAGGTTGTGGAAACCACTTTGTTTAAGTATGGCTTATTTTAAATATTTTATATTGCAGATAGTGCCAGAAAATCATTATTTTAATGTAAAATATATATATATATATTTTTTTTTTTAAAATCACTACTGAATCTATCACACAGTTAAGAGTTATTTCCCCTTAATCTTATTAAAGCTACTACATTTATTGTGGACACTATCAGAAGTTCATCATCAAAGGTATGTTTCACCTTTTGGGGTATGGGGGGGAAAAAAAGGTTGGGGGGACGGGACTTTGGGACAGAAGTCTTTTTTTGTTGTTGTTGTCAGCAAAAATAAGAAGTGCCTTGTAGGGATTTATGAGTGAATGTGACCAGGCTTAAGACTCGCTGCTGTAGAGGAGCTCAATAATGTAGTAATCCAAGACTTTAATATGCTACAATACATTATGTTAATTTAAAAAAAATATATTTTATACATTCTGATAACCTTGGAACTAACTAATCCATTTAAATGAATTTTTCAAGAATACATTTTACTCACTCTTATCAACTATCTATCAAATTTAGCCACCATGAATTAAGAATAGGTATATAGCATGTTGGAATTCACATGTGTAGGTAGCTTTGGAGGTTCAATTTTATCGTCTGTCAAATTTAGCCACCATGAATTAAGAATAGGTCTATAACATGTTGGAATTCACATGTGTAGGTAGCTTTGGAGGTTCAATTTTATCGTCTGTCAAATTTAGCCACCATGAATTAAGAATAGGTCTATAACATGTTGGAATTCACATGTGTAGGTAGCTTTGGAGGTTCAATTTTATCGTCTGTCAAATTTAGCCACCATGAATTAAGAATAGGTATATAGCATGTTGGAATTCACATGTGTAGGTAGCTTTGGAGGTTCAATTTTATCGTCTGTCAAATTTAGCCACCATGAATTAAGAATAGGTCTATAACATGTTGGAATTCACATGTGTAGGTAGCTTTGGAGGTTCAATTTTATCGTCTGTCAAATTTAGCCACCATGAATTAAGAATAGGTCTATAACATGTTGGAATTCACATGTGTAGGTAGCTTTGGAGGTTCAATTTTATCGTCTGTCAAATTTAGCCACCATGAATTAAGAATAGGTCTATAACATGTTGGAATTCACATGTGTAGGTAGCTTTGGAGGTTCAATTTTATCGTCTGTCAAATTTAGCCACCATGAATTAAGAATAGGTCTATAACATGTTGGAATTCACATGTGTAGGTAGCTTTGGAGGTTCAATTTTATCGTCTGTCAAATTTAGCCACCATGAATTAAGAATAGGTCTATAACATGTTGGAATTCACATGTGTAGGTAGCTTTGGAGGTTCAATTTTATCGTCTGTCAAATTTAGCCACCATGAATTAAGAATAGGTCTATAACATGTTGGAATTCACATGTGTAGGTAGCTTTGGAGGTTCAATTTTATCGTCTGTCAAATTTAGCCACCATGAATTAAGAATAGGTCTATAACATGTTGGAATTCACATGTGTAGGTAGCTTTGGAGGTTCAATTTTATCGTCTGTCAAATTTAGCCACCATGAATTAAGAATAGGTCTATAACATGTTGGAATTCACATGTGTAGGTAGCTTTGGAGGTTCAATTTTATCGTCTGTCAAATTTAGCCACCATGAATTAAGAATAGGTCTATAACATGTTGGAATTCACATGTGTAGGTAGCTTTGGAGGTTCAATTTTATCGTCTGTCAAATTTAGCCACCATGAATTAAGAATAGGTCTATAACATGTTGGAATTCACATGTGTAGGTAGCTTTGGAGGTTCAATTTTATCGTCTGTCAAATTTAGCCACCATGAATTAAGAATAGGTCTATAACATGTTGGAATTCACATGTGTAGGTAGCTTTGGAGGTTCAATTTTATCGTCTGTCAAATTTAGCCACCATGAATTAAGAATAGGTCTATAACATGTTGGAATTCACATGTGTAGGTAGCTTTGGAGGTTCAATTTTATCGTCTGTCAAATTTAGCCACCATGAATTAAGAATAGGTATATAACATGTTGGAATTCACATGTGTAGGTAGCTTTGGAGGTTCAATTTTATCGTCTGTCAAATTTAGCCACCATGAATTAAGAATAGGTCTATAACATGTTGGAATTCACATGTGTAGGTAGATTTGGAGGTTCAATTTTATCGTCTGTCAAATTTAGCCACCATGAATTAAGAATAGGTCTATAACATGTTGGAATTCACATGTGTAGGTAGCTTTGGAGGTTCAATTTTATCGTCTGTCAAATTTAGCCACCATGAATTAAGAATAGGTATATAACATGTTGGAATTCACATGTGTAGGTAGCTTTGGAGGTTCAATTTTATCGTCTGTCAAATTTAGCCACCATGAATTAAGAATAGGTATATAACATGTTGGAATTCACATGTGTAGGTAGCTTTGGAGGTTCAATTTTATCGTCTGTCAAATTTAGCCACCATGAATTAAGAATAGGTATATAGCATGTTGGAATTCACATGTGTAGGTAGCTTTGGAGGTTCAATTTTATCGTCTGTCAAATTTAGCCACCATGAATTAAGAATAGGTATATAGCATGTTGGAATTCACATGTGTAGGTAGCTTTGGAGGTTCAATTTTATCGTCTGTCAAATTTAGCCACCATGAATTAAGAATAGGTATATAGCATGTTGGAATTCACATGTGTAGGTAGCTTTGGAGGTTCAATTTTATCGTCTGTCAAATTTAGCCACCATGAATTAAGAATAGGTATATAGCATGTTGGAATTCACATGTGTAGGTAGCTTTGGAGGTTCAATTTTATCGTCTGTCAAATTTAGCCACCATGAATTAAGAATAGGTCTATAACATGTTGGAATTCACATGTGTAGGTAGCTTTGGAGGTTCAATTTTATCGTCTGTCAAATTTAGCCACCATGAATTAAGAATAGGTATATAGCATGTTGGAATTCACATGTGTAGGTAGCTTTGGAGGTTCAATTTTATCGTCTGTCAAATTTAGCCACCATGAATTAAGAATAGGTCTATAACATGTTGGAATTCACATGTGTAGGTAGCTTTGGAGGTTCAATTTTATCGTCTGTCAAATTTAGCCACCATGAATTAAGAATAGGTATATAACATGTTGGAATTCACATGTGTAGGTAGCTTTGGAGGTTCAATTTTATCGTCTGTCAAATTTAGCCACCATGAATTAAGAATAGGTATATAACATGTTGGAATTCACATGTGTAGGTAGCTTTGGAGGTTCAATTTTATCGTCTGTCAAATTTAGTTAACATGAATTAAGAATAGATCTATAACATGTTGGAATTCACATGTGTAGGTAGCTTTGGAGGTTCAATTTTATCGTCTGTCAAATTTAGTTAACATGAATTAAGAATAGATCTATAACATGTTGGAATTCACATGTGTAGGTAGCATTGGAGGTTATACTTCTAATTTTTTAAGCTTCACAAGCAATAATAAAATAATAAGCAGTTAATTGAGAGTAAACATTAATTTAAAAATACTTTTTACAGCTTTGTAGAATATTGTTTTGTTAAATTCTTCACTTAACAAACAAAAAAATGATGTTTGAAAATGTATAAATATTCTTATATTTTAAGCTTAAAATTTACATGAGATTTTGCCAACTCTGGTTGTTATGAAAGTCTAGACCAAGGGAGACAAATATTCAGCATCAATAAAATTGCCTTACTTTCTTTGTTAAAAAAAAAAGCTGTTTTGAAAATTGCCAAAAAATTTTGAATATTTATGTTTATATGGTTTTTATCCCGAATACTTTCGATGTGCACTTATTATCTTGGGAAATGCAGCATTTAATTTATTCATCGGTTGACTGCACGTTAAATGCAGGTGGGTGTTGCTTTTTTCCATTATTGTTTTTTTTAGGTAATAATAAAAACACATTATCATTAAACAAGTTGATGGCCATATGTTGAAATAAAAGTGGAAAAAAAGCAAACCATTATGTAGCAAATGCTCTGGACCAGAGGTTCCCAAACATTTTTGAAGTCACTGCATCCTTGCCACATCCAGGTTTTCCCAAGCCCCCCCCCCCCCACACCCCTCCATGTCTGATTCTTATTAACAATTGCAGTGCAGAATTTATGGAGTTTTAAAAAGAGAATTCCCCA